GGCTTCCAGCTGTTGGGCTGTCCTGGATGGAGGACTGCAAGTTAGTGGGAATCCTACTCTTTGAGGGTATGAGTACATTTGCATATTGTCCTGCAACAGGTGGCAAGCTCTGGCTGCACAAATAACCAGAAATCTAGAAGAATGGAGCTTTAAAAATTGGGCTGGTGCGTGGCTTCACATATACCCTAATAGGCAGGACACAAAGATTAGTTACTCCTCACTGGGGTATGGAAGATTTCTCTGCACACCCCTCCCAAAACTGTTCTGCACCTCAACTGTTGACATATGCCTTGTTAGAGTTATAAGTCAGTATAGACTATCCTAAAATCTGCCAAGGTCAGCAAAATTATGTTTCAACACTATAAACTGCTAAATACTAAAATGAAAATAGACATGAGACAGCTGAATAGTACCCTAGAGCCATTTCAAGGTATAGAGCAACCTGTTCCGTATATAAACTAAAATTGAAATGTCAATGAAGTAGTCAGAGGATATGGTTAAGAACTTGCATTCTTTTAACATATTGGTTACTCAATACCATGACAACTAATTCCATAATATTGTAAATTGTTGTTGATGTTGTGTTGGGGCTTTTAAGTGATTGGGATGATATTCTGCCAGCTCTACCTTCAGACCAGAGATGGTCTCCCCAAGAAACTGTTGAATTGATCTGGACAATGAGATGCTGGACTCTGTGCTTGGTATATGTTTGCAAAAAAAGAATCTTGACTGAATTTGAACTGTAATACTGCAACAAGGTGGAGGAATTCACTATGGGGGGAGTATGGGGAGGGGTGAAACTGTGAAACTGTGTCACATAATGCAACGTAATTAATAATAAAAAAAAATTGGGCTGGTGTTATTCAGCACCAAAAAGGTGTGATCTCCCATGGCATGGAAAGACATGGAAAAAATTTAAGTATATGTTATTCAGTGAAAGAAGTCAGGCTACATATCATGAGCATCCAACTCTATGACCTTTTGGTTATATTATGTTTCATGTGTGATTACTACACACCATTTGCAACTTAGAAATTTTAGTTTTTCTTATGAAAATTATACATTGATTGTGAAGTACTGCACAAGAATGAAGACACCAACGGTTCTATAAGTGTCGTTTACTTTTGTACATACATGCTCGTTTGTACACACATGCACAAATCTACAGTTATTTTCTATAAGAAGCACACTGAATGTTCTTTTTGGTAAAATGATTTTTCCATTTATTAAAATCGAATACAATTCTGTAGCAACAACTGTTTTCCAAAATTTTGTTGCCATCAAGCTTTTGTGTGGCTACCCACAAGTATCTTATTATTCGATAATTGATATTTAGTGTTCCACCTTTTTTCTTTGTGTGTGTGACTAAATGTGAAGAAACAGAATAACTGGGGTCAAACATGAGTGAGGTTTAAAGATTATTGATTATTCATGCCAAGTTTGACTACCACACTGTGCTCAATTACCGTGGAACTTGCTGATTTTTTTTGCCAATCTTTTCATAAGTTAATAGGCTCCCAAGTGGCAACCCATTTTGTGGCCCTTGTGAACCACAGTGAGGTGTGTTAAATGCCCCCTGAACACTGCGGCTTTGTGCCATTTCGCACAGTTGTCTATTAAAGCTTCTGTTTTTCTCATTGACTTACATGAACATTTGAAAAATGCCACTTCCGTTTATTTTGTCATTTAGATGTCAACATCTCTCCCTTCGAATAAACTCTGCATATGATGAGGTTTTAGAAAACTCCTGGATATTTTTGTGTTTTCTACATTTAGTTTTCAACTTGCCTTTCAGTAGAGCTGCATAATGGTCTGGTTCACTTGCCTGTAAAAGTTATTAAAAGGAGAGTTGCATTCCCCAAAGTCCCTCAGAGCACACTGTGCTCTTTCAGTGGAAACATCTGTACAATCAAAGCATCCTTAATGTCTAGCTTGAACTCAATTGTAAAGAGCACAGCTAATTTTATTTGATTATCTGTCCCTTATGAATCTTGGCAAACGTTTTAAGTTGTAGGCAAAGAAATCCAAGCCAATTCACAATTTACAATGCCGTTGGCTATGAGTGATTGAGGTGTTTTTTCTTTAATCCAGCTGAAAGCTGTGTCTGTCTGCCGCTAAATTATGATATCTTATCTCTAAGATTTAACAGCATCTGATGGTTCTATCTGTAGGTAATGTAATCCAGCTGGAGACTCGAGGTATGCAAGCCTGTGTTTTAGAACAAAGGGGTATTTTTTTTTCTCCAGCCAGTAAATAAAAAATGATTTTTTTTTCAGATATGAAAGGACAAAAGGTTTTGAACTGACCCCATTGAGTGGGGTTTCCTAGACCTGTCTTTGGCCTTTGGCCATGGGTCTAACCCTGAGTCCTCCAGCTTCTTTGATTTCTGTACTAGTGTGATGGATACGCAGGTTCACACCAGAGTCACACTGTCAGATGGCAGTGACATCCATGGCTCTTCATGCTCATACACCTGGATGGCCAACACCGTCATCAACAGCCTGGTGACCAGTGTAGAGGAAGAACTGAAAGACTTGACTGTTTTCTCCCTTTATTTCAAGACTTTCAGAGCTCCCTAAGGGTGCGTGGTGTGTTTTCTTCTTTAAAGAAAAACATTCGGTATTTAAGAGTAGATGCAAAGGCTGGCATTGGGAAGTAGTGTGTGGGTGCTGGTTGGTGTCCCCGCTGTTCCACTTCCTTCCTGACTCAAGGCTGACAGCATGTGAAAAGCAGTAAAAGGTGACTACTGTTTTGTTTGGACCCGTGTCACTCATGTGGGAGACCTGGAAGAAGCTTCCGGCTCCTGGGTCTAGCCTGGTCCGGTCCTGGCCATTGCAACCATCTAGGGATTGAACCTGCGGAGGATCTGTCTTTCCTTCTCTGTAACTCTTTCAAATATGTTAATTACCTTTAGAAAAGAGAACATATAACCTTAGCATCAGTAAGAGATTGGCAAAGATATTTAATATGTTATCCATTTCAGGGTAACATGTCATCCGTTTCAGTTCTGTCACCTCAAGTCTCCGTTGTTGATTTTCTGTAGCTGTGTCTCATTCCTGAAACCAGCAATATCACTGTCTGGTCTCATTATCCTATGGAAAGAAGACATGGCCCACTACTGGCCCCTGCTTCATTTCTTAACATTACTGCTGCTAAATTCAGATGATAAATGTCTGTGAATAACTGAGAAAAAATTTTTTTGTCAGTGCATATATTGAGGAATCAGCACAATGTGGTGTTTGTGTGAATTCTCAGTAGGATCAGCAGGAATGACAACTTGTACTATCCACTCACTATTCTACATAACTAGGTATATTTAGTTGCTCCATTTGGGAGAGATTGTTACTGTCCGCTCTACAGCAAATAAAACTACGTGGCTCAGTCAGGACGTGAACCGTAAGTCTGACTGTAGATCTTCCCTTCTTAACTTCATTAACTTCCTAGGAATGACTCTGAAATATAGCTGATGGTATACCCGTTTTACAAATGGAATCTGACCGTCGGGGAGAGAATAATTCTTGCAGTGTTTTTTTTTTTTATGCCTGAGATTATGTCACAGCTGGTTAAGCTGCAGCCTGCCATGTGGGCATCTTCCAAGTCCCAGCTACTCTACTCTCAATCCAGCTCCCTGCAAGTGACCTAGAAATAGTGCCAGAAGATAGCAAGATAGCCCAAGTACTTGGCGTCTACTCCCATATGGGAGACCCAAATGAAGTTCCTGGCTCCTGGCCCGGTGCTGACCGTCGGGGATTGAACCAGCAGACAGAAGATCTCTGAGTCTGTCTCTTTGTTTCTCTCGGTACTTCTGATGCTCAAAATAAATAAATAAATCTCTTTTTTTCCAAAAAAAGTAATAGCATTTAGTGGAAACTCTAATTCCAAAGCCTTCCCCATGTTTTTCTCACACTGCATTTTCTCCCCTGCATTTTCAGGGACTTTGTTCACCTTAAAGGGAACCAACCACTGGCCAGTAGACGATTTAGTAAGCTGAAATGCATTCCCTGGGGTTCTTGCTGCGCAGCAAGCTAGCAGTTCTGTCTGCACTCTTCATTCGTGGGACTGACACAGTGAGAAATACCTCTGACTTGAAGTATATCATTGCCAATCTTGGCATAGTCAACTCTCTCTCACTTGACAGGTCAAGGCAGTTATCACGAGTTTGGTGAGGTGACCTCGGTGACAGCTTTTGTTGCACAGCATCACATATGACAGTGGCTTAGGACCCACAGAAATGGACTCTCCTGGAACTCTTGGGTCCACAAGTCTAGACCCAATGTACCTTGTTCCAAAGGGGCAGGTCCCTTCTTTTCTCTTGGAGCTTCTGCTGGCTCCATCTCTGCCTCTGTCATGTAGCTCTCTCCTCTTCTGTGTCTTTGTGTCTTAGGGGGACACTTGTCATTGTATCTGGGGCTTCCCTGGACAAGGCAGGTGATCTCCTCTCTGCCCCAAACTTAACTATACCTGCCAGAAGGGTTTCCCCAAAGAACGTTGGATTGACACATTCTGGGGAACTTACCCTTTGAGAGTCTGCCACGCAGCTTTAGGTGAAGTAACCTTGATTGTCCTTGTAGCATGCCATCCTCACCAGCCTTATTGTATGTGTCTTGTTCTCTTACCTGCTTGCTTTTCTTTTCTTTGTTTCTACCTCCTTGGATCCACATTTTGTGAGTGAACCGCTCTCCATTTCCCTGCTGTATCCTCACGAGATAGGATGGTTCGTGGTAGGGATTATGGAACTGTTAATAAATAAATGGCAGAATTAATGGTGCTATCAGTCTCCGATTATGTGAAATTGAATCTTCAATCCCTTCAGTAGTTTCTAGGAGTTATTTATGTCCCTGGAATTTCATTTGCATATTTTTGAGAATGGCATTATGCTTAACAGAGAGAATAAACAGATCTAGCTGTCTTAGTGGATCACACAGTTGCTACCTGATTTTAGTTCCTTTCCGTTTTATTCCCCAGGAATTCTTTCAGCAGAATATTTCTTCTTCTCCTAGGATCCGATCACCTGCGTGAAAAAGATGGCCTCTGGGCGGTCTTAGTCTGGCTGTCCATTATTGCCGCCCGGAAGCAGAGCGTGGAAGAAATTGTCCGGGATCACTGGACCAAATTTGGCCGCCACTACTTTTGCAGGTAAGGAGAAGGGCCTGCTCTTGGAGGTAGTTTCTGAAACGAATGGGCTGGAAGTTTCGGATGGAAGCTCGTGTCAGGGAGAGCCTCATCAGTCTGGAGAGGTTCTTGGGGAAGTTGTGAAGAGCTATAAAACTGCAAGGTGCAGCTTTCTCTTCCTTTTCTGATAAGCCTCTAGCATTCAGACTAGGGGTCTTTCTTTCTGGTTTTCCATTCCTGCTTGTCAGGGACAGGGCACAGATATGGAAGCCAGGCTAGGTTAGGGCACTTTCTTAATTCTTTCACTACAATTGTCTTAGTTGCTTGCTCATGATCTGAGCGAGCAGTGTCTAAGATGCCTGAACTGGTACCCTTTGAGGGGGGCCACGTGAATCAGGAAGCCCAAGATTTTGCAAAAGGTTTGTTCTCAGGGAAGCAGGTACAGAAAAAGGAAATACTGGCTGGGAAGGAAGGAAGGAAAAGAAAGGCCAGTAGGGGGGTCTGTGTTTTCTCTTGCTGATGTAAGGAACCAGGAACGGTGGTCTGGGTATTGATGACCCCAGGTAAGCTAAGAAAGTGTGTACACCTAGCCAGATTTCAAGAGAGGGGTGAAAGAAAAGGACGTTAACTTTGGAAAACTCAGGTTTGGGATGTGGGAATTTGAGGGTAGCCTCAGAGACTCTGTGTGTGAAAAACAGAGGTTGTGACTCATCGGCCTTTGCTTGTGAATAGTTGCTCTGGATATGCAGTTGTGTTTCCAGAGCCGGAGGGACCGAAAGTGAGCTTGAGGACTTTCCTTGTATGGTGATTGTTCCTTCCCTGCAGAAGCCATAAATCTCTCAGATTAATATCAGAGAAGAACGAAGCCTGTTATCATCCTCATTAGCTTCAAAGAAAGTGCAACGCAAGTGTAATATTCCTGAGGTCTTTTAGTGAAGAAGGCTGGGGACATGCTAGCCTACAAGCTAGTTTATACAATCCTTTGTTCCATGAAGCTTGCCTCATTCATTCGAATTTCTAACCAATTTCCAGCCCTCCTCATGGGTGTGTGTGTGTGTGTGTGTGTGTGTGTGTGTGTGTGTGTGTGTGTGTGTGTGTGTGTTACTAAGGGCTAATTGGCGCATGAAATTCTTCATAGAATGAAGATTTTCCAGAAAGTTCAACCTGGTCAAATATATTACTGTTGCCAACTTCTCGCAGAGCAAGATCGTTTTGACTCAAAAGATGTGTTCCTCTTAATTTGTAGAATCATTATTTTGGTGTCTGCCAAGCGTTTGAAGAAATGGTGTCATGAGCAATGTGTGTGTATTTATTCTTCTTGGTCAAGAGCTTACATGCTGATTTTTTTCATAACAAATACCATGTTAGAGAATAATACGTTGGAGATTGAATTTATTTTAGGACATTAAATTGTGTCTCATATTTCTCCCCCCCCCTCGAAAAAAGATGGCAGAGATAAAGAAGCAGGGAGGGTAGGATGGAAGGTAAACATTTCCTTCCACCCCAGCAAATAGCAAGTAGAAAAGTGATTGTGAAATAAAATGATTTCTCGCCGGAGTGTTTTTTGGCAGAGAGCGACATAATAAAATGGTTTCATAACTGAGTCTGAAGTTATATCTGAGAACATCTCCCAGATGACTTTCTTTGTATAAACAGACCCGAGATGGAATTCGCCATGTAAAGGGTTCATCCCTTGAAAGTGTGTTAGGGTTTGGGTACTGTGGGGGGAAGGCAATGCCAGGAACGGCTTTGCACAGGAAGAGCATTTGGGTGGGCTCATCTGTGGACTAGCAGCACACTCAACACGATCTGTCGCATAGTGGATGTTGTTCTCAACTTTGGAATCTGTCTGTGTTTCTTACTTGACCATCGTATCAAAATAGTCCAGCCTCTTCCTATTTTTCTTTACCTTCCCCCCGCCAAAAGCCTGTCTTTAAAGAGAACCTGGTCTTGGACTGGTGTCACGGCCTGGTGGGTAAAGGTACTGCCCGCAACCCTGGCATCTTATACGGGTGCTGGTTCGTGTCCTGGCTGCTGCACTTCCCATGCACTTGGCAGCTAATGACCTCGGGAAAGCAGTGGAAGATTGTTCAAGTGTTTGAGCCCCTCTACCCTTACGGGAGACCCACGTGAGGCTCCTGGCTCTTGCCTTCAGTCTGGCCCAGTGCTGGTCATTGAGGCCATCTGAGGGTAAACCAGCCGACAGAAGATTTCTCTTTTTCCTTGTCTTTTCTGTCTCTCTGCCATTCAAATAAATAAATAACAAGTAAATAAATAGATTTCAAATTCATACATTGAATCAGATAGTTCAAAATAACGGAGTGAATTGTAAATAAATATATTTTTAAAGAAAAAAATTATTTTAACAAGAGAGAGAGAAAAAAATGAAGCTTGTTTTGAAAAAGACAGAGAGTCTAGCCTCAGAACATACAGACCTACCTGTGTATGACATGGGATCTTGGTCCAGGTCCTCTGACACTGAGCAGTTTCTTTAAGAATAAAACCGATGAATAGTTTTTCAAACATGGAAGCCTGACACTGTACATGTTCCTTTTTTTTTTTTTAATTGGAAAGTCAGATATACAGAGAAGAAAGACCTGTCTGATGATTCACTTCCCAAGTAGTCACAATGGCACAAGCGCTGAGCTCATCCGAAGCCAGGAAGCCTCTTCTGGGTTTCCCACGCAGGTGCAGGGTCCCAAGGCTTTGGGCTGTCCTTGATTGCTTTCCCAGGCCAGAGGCAGGGAACTGGATGGGAAGCAGGGCCATCAGGACACGAACCGGCACCTATATGGGAGTTGCATACAAGGCAAGGGCTTTAGCCGCTGGGCTACTACACCAGGCCCACGGGCATTTGCTTGCATCATCATCTTTCAAACTCCATAACAGCAAATGAAAATGGTTATTATTTTTAGGTTCTGTTCATTTATTCATTTTGTTTTTTTCAAACCACCCTCCAGCCTTTTAACACATTTGATGCACTTATCTGGGATGACCTAGAATGGAACAAATGTGACATTTTTTCCCCAAATTCTCAGGAGAGTATCATAGAACATTCAGTTCCCCGGTCTTGTTTCATTGCCTCCTTGAGTTCACGCTCTCTGCTTCTCCTTCCTAGCTACATTCATAGCAAGTACTGTCCTGTACCATCTGGGAGCTCTCATTCTGGTGGGCCAAGGCAGAAAAATAAGTAAATAAATACCCTACCAAGGTTAACTACCGAAAGAAGATTAAAAAAAAAGGGTGATGAGGTGGGAGGCCTCCCTTGGATGAGCAGTCAGGGAAAGTCACTTTGCGGAGGTGACAGATTTGAAAAATGGAAGGAAGAGAATGAGCCAGCTATTTCAATAGCTGGGACGGAAGGGCCCAAGTTGGAAGGAACAAAGAACAAGGGCCAGGGAGGGGAGGGAATTCAGGGCAGGGAGGGTGAAGTGTCCCGGGGAACTGGACAGGACACCAGTGTCGCTGGGACAAGTACATGAAGTGCAAGAGTCAGGTTAGGGATAGACCGCAAAGTGCATGACTGTCTGTGATCAGTTTTGAGTTTTGTTCTTTATAGGCCCTTTCTGGCCACCGTGTGGACAGTGGATTCCAAGGGGCGGGTGCTTGTCTGTGCTGTCCTTCCATGAAGACAGCTGCAGGAGGTCCAAGTGGTGGCTCTCTCTCTGATGAGGCTTTGATTCTTCACGTATCCTTTCCTTCTTCGCAAGGTTTGACTACGAGGGCCTGGAGCCCAAGACCACGTATTATATCATGAGGGACCTGGAGGCCCTGGTCATTGACAAGTCCTTCATCGGCCAGCAGTTCGCCGTGGGGAGCCAAATCTACAGTGTGGCAAAGACAGATAGCTTTGAATATGTGGACCCCGTGGACGGGACTGTTACAAGAAAGCAGGTGAGTGCAGAGTCACCCAAGCTGGTTCTCAGGCAGAAGTGGCGAGAGATGTGTTGGGTTGATCTCTTCTGAGCTCTTCAGTTTGCAGCCGATTGCTTGGGAGCCATGAAAGTGCCCTTGCTGGTGGGGGAACCTAGCCAGTTAGGGACAGAGGGTGGGCTGGTACATGCGCCCACTCTAGCTACCCATCTGGTAGGAAATGGGCCAGTGCCTCATAGATGTAGAGCCAGCACTTTCCTTCTAAACTGTTTGAAGTTCAAGGTATTCTTATGTGGTGACCACTTAATATTGGTAATGGACTCAGAAGTTAATACATAGGAGTGAAAGGCTTCCGTCCCTGGAATCCAGGGTGTTTTCAGATCTTTTAAAAAGATTTATTTATTTTACTTGAACGAGTTAGAGAGAGAGAGATTTCCCATCCACTGATTCACTCCCTACATGGCTGCACTGGCCAGAACTGGGTTGGCCTGAAGCTGGGAGTCAGGAACTTGAATCTCCCAGATGGTTTCAAGGTCCCAAATCCTTGGGCCATCCTCTGCTGCCTGCCTAGGCCCATGTCGGAAATTATCAGACCATGATTAGTGGGCATTCTGCCCTATGTGTCTTTTTCTTTCAAAGCAAATATGCTGGCCTACTGCTATAGTTAACACAAAGTTAACTATATATATAGCTGGCTTCAGAATGCCAGCCAGCCATTGGCTGCTTTATTTCCAGAAATGGAACCTTTGCCTAGGTCCATGGCAACCGAGGCAGCTGCGCACAGCTGGGGACCCCATGATTTTTCAGCTTCTTTTACCTGCTGTTAACGAGGAATCACGGGAGCTCAGCCAAATGCCTTGGGACCTTGGTAGGGATGAAAAAACATTGGGAAATCCACCCAGGAAAAAAAACAACGGAAAGATAATATGATTTGAAAATGGCCGCAGATTGAGTAACAATATCTGCAGAATTTTCTGTTATGGTAGAACAACATCTCATCTTGTTTTCTTTATTGGCTGTGGAAACTGTTGATCCCCCTGAGAGCACATACTAATGCATGAATTCTAAACACACTTGGAGGAATATTAAGAGAAGGTGCCACCTTGAAATCCCCAGATTTTTCTCTATTTGTGTGTCCTTTGTAAGTACAGGACTTTTTATACTAGATCCAGTGGTAGTAATGATGCATTCTTGCTACTGAACGCGTGGCTCGAGTTTGACAAGTGTTTGCCGTTGTCCCCTATCCTGGAACCTTATGACTGGCAGACGGGCCTGATCCCAACGCCCTCCCTCTGTTTATTCTTTTATCATTTCTTCCTCTGGTAGAGCTGTCTTTCTAGCGATCTTTCCTCAGCATCGAGGTGTCAGCCATTTGTTCTGGAGTCGTTTACTCTCACTTGGAAAGGTTCAGGGTAGTAGGGAAAAGAGAGGATTGGAAACTCAGAATCACTTCCAAGTTGTAGGAGTTTGCAACAAGTGGCAGAATATGTTTGCAGCCACAGTGCCTTTCCCATCTGGAAAATGCCTGTCTCACAGCAATCCTGCACAACAAAATAAAACGCCAAATGCTTTCAGTAGCCCTGTACGTGGGAAATACACAGCGTGGTTTTAATCTGTATTTTGTTTAACTCGGGGGTGGTGGTAGCCTGCGGACTAGATTTGAATTCATTCTGAAATCCCAACTGCTCAGTCTCTATGCCCCTTCACAGTGCTCACTTCCATTTTCACCACATTCCTGTGCATGTTTTACATAGGAAATGTCAAAGCAAGCTTTTCAGAAAACCAAGGTTCATTTTGATTTTGTTGCCTCTATGGAATCTAAGACGTAAACTCTGCAGTATTTTTGGCAAGTTTCCCCCCCGCCCCCACTGGTGAGAAAGACTTAGAAGCCATCCCTTGGGGATAGCGTCATGGCATAGGCCACTGAATCGCCATGTACAGTGCCAGCATCCCACATGGGCATCAGTTAAAGTCCTGGCTGTTCCATCTCTGACGCAGCTCATTGCTATTGCACCTGGGAAAGCAATAGAAGATGGCCTCAATTCTTGGGCCTGTGCACTCACGTGGGAGACCTATGCAAGGCTTTGGCTTGACCCAATCCTGGCCATTAAGGCCCTTTGAAGAGTGAACTAGCTAGAAAATGGAAGCCCTGTATGCCTCTCTCTCTCTGTTTTCTATTATCTTTGTAGCTCTGTATTTCAAATAAATAAGTCAGCCTTTTTAAAAAAAGCTACCCCTTGAAGGGATCATTCTACTGAGTATCAAATCTACTCAGGGCAACTTGACTCTTTTTTTTTTTTTTTAAGATTTTGTTTTTATTGGAAAGACAGATATACTGAGAGGAGGAGAGACAGAGAGAAAGATCTTCCATCCACAGATTCACTCCTCAGGTGGCCACAATGGCCAGAGCTGAGCCCATCTGAAGCCAGGAGCCAGGAGGTTCTTCAGGGTCTCTCACATGGTTGCAGGGTCCCAAGGCTTTGGGCTATTCTAGACTCATTTTTCAAGCTATACCACAGAGCTGAATGGGAAGTGAAACAATGGGACATGAACCGGCATCCATATGGGGTCCTGGCTCATGCAGGGCAAGGACTTTAGCCACTAGGTTACTGCGAGGGGCCTGTAACTTGACTTTTGAACTCATTTGTTTTGCTGTGTTACTCTGTTTTGTTTCTGTCTCAATGCTCCCAGCATTTGAATAATTTTTCCTTTGATTTTCTTTAACCAGTCTAATTGAACAAAAACTGAATCTCAAGTTCTAATATCCTATTTCCTCACTCCTCCTCACCCTGAATATTGGTTTCTATTTTTATTCTGGAATTCATTGATTTTTTTTCCCCCTGTCCACACTCTTCCATCTGCTCTCCAACATGACTATAAATAGATGAATGCTATCAAGGCTTCCTCTTGGGAATTTTTTCTCACAAAGGAAGAATGGCGATTTTTGTTCACTTTTCCAGATTGCCAGGTTGAGCTGACATACTGGTTGGCTGGTGGCCTTGAGTGTTCCTCAAGTTCTGGCTTGGGCTCAGTAGGGGAGAAGAGGGGTCTGTGAGCAAGTCATAGACGATTCTGTTGGGCACAAGGAGAACCCCATGGTAAGGATGCTGCAGACCTCAGAAGGGGAACAACATTTAGTTCCAAGGCTATTGACTTGTAGGCACCCTTGAAGTAATAAAAATCATTGTAAGAAAGATTTGAATTTAAAAGAACTAGTATTTTTAAATAGTCATAAAGCACCTTGATGTGTTCACTCAATAGATATTTATTAATGGCAAATGCATAATGTGGGGTTATTTTTCATGGCACAGTTTCATATCTATCTATCTATCTATCTATCTATCTATCTATCTATCTATCTATATTAGCTGAAGATGGAATTTATATACCATACCATTCACACATTGAAAAGACACACATCACATTCCATTCTGGAACATCTTCATGGCTTCCTTAGAACTTCCTGCTTTTTCACCTGACATTTCCATTCCGATATTCCTCCAGCCTCAGTCACAAATCTGCTTTCTGTCCTTGTGGATTTGCCTATTCTGGACATTTTGTGTAAATGGCTCCTGTAATTTGTGGTCCTTTGTCCCTGCCCTCTTTGTCTTAGTATACTATTTTCAGGGCTCATCCGTGTTGTCCCACTTCTCAGTCCTTTATTCTCTTTATTGCTGCTTAAGACCGCATTGCGTGGATAGATCATGTTTTGTTTGTTCATCAGTTGGTGGGCTTTTGCGATATTAGGATTATACTGTCATCCCACTTTCACTCGCCATCCTTATTATGCATTTTTTGCTTAGAATACTGCTATTTTAAAACAATCTGCGGTATGGTAGATTATTTTAAAATAGCGACAGAAAGTTATTGGTCTCCATAAGTGAAGAAGCACACCCTCTTGTTAGCAAAGCCAAGGGCAACAATGCTGTGACATTTCTCTGGCGCTGTTCAATACTCTGTGCCTTTGGAATCAGACACGTGCTGGCTTGAAGACTGGCTTTCTCACTGCCTAGAGTGTGACTTCGGGCATATTATTTGACCTCTCTGAATCTCAACACAGAGAAGCAGTAATGATAACAGTGCCTAGGGAAATGGAGCAGGTTTGAAGAAGTCCTACAAAGGTCTGGCTGGAGCTGCCATTTGCAGTTGGCCCACCACTTGTGATAAAGACCATCGCAGTGGAAGTTGCGTCCTCTGATGCAACAGAAAATGTGACAGCCAAGATCCAGGAGAAAGAGAGAATTCCTCCTGTTCAGACTGATTTTTTTTGCTAGCTGGCAACTGAAAGACAAGTGGATTTATGGGACGATGACATTTGAAAGGAGTCTGCTTCGTCTTGCTTTGACGCTTCGTGGTGGTAAGAAAAGGAAGATATCTCAAAGAGAAGAAATAGGAGAGAAGGACAATTAAGCTGACTGTCCTGAAGCACTGGAAGGTGGATGAGAGTGGCAGAGCACCTTTTTGATGACTGTGGGGCTGAAAAGTTTATGGCAGACATCACCATGGCAAAAGCTGTCTGGACTTCCTGCTTCAATAAAGCAGAAAACAAGTAGCTAAATATATATATATATATATATGAACTAACTTTTTAAAAAATCCTTGGTGGGTCTAGGGCAATGACTCAATTGGCTGATCTTTTGTCTGCAAGCACTTGCATCCCATATGGGTGCCAGTTCCTGTCCTGGCCGTTCCACTTCCCTCATGGCTCCCTGCTTGTGGCCTGAGAAAGCAGTGGACAATGACCCCAAAATCTTCAGACCCTGCCCTTGAATGGGAGACCCGAAGGGGACCTTCTGCCTCCTGCTTTGGATCAGCTCAGCTCTGTCCATTATAGCCGTTTGAGGAATGAACCTGTGGATGGAAGATCTTTCTGTCTCTTCTTCTCTCTGTAAATCTGACTTTCTCATCAAAATAAGTCAATTTTTTTTTTATTGGAAAGTGAGATACAGAGAGGAGAGACAGAGAGGAAGATCTTCTGTCTGATGATTCACTCCCCAAGTGAGCACAACGGCCGATGCTAT